TAAATTAATGAAAAAAGTTTCACAAAGTTTAAGAATAAATTAGTAATTTCCATTTTTATCACAATCTTATCTTGAGTAAACCACAAAAATTCATCAAATCAACCATCATCCATCAAACAGCCAATTCTGATTACACTTATGACAGTTTCTCTTTTTTTTTCCCCAAGATGCCTTGTAGAATTTTTGATGAAATTATTTACTATGCATGACTATTTTGGACATTTTAGAATGAAAAATGGATTCTCTGTGAAAAATTGTGTTAATCTGGATTACATGACAGGCAATTTTATGAGTTTCTAAAGAAACAAAACGATTTAAATGAAAAATTCATCTATCAAGAAACATTCTCAATTCCTTTGGGGTGATGAGCAAAAAAATAATATTCTTGGAAGGTAAATTGCCTAGCTTGATATCTAAACAACAAGATAAAATTATGACAATCTCGTATTTATCCATAACCAGAACAATTTCAATTCAATAAACTGCATTTGTTCTCCCTAATCATGATTCTCCTAAATCAACAACTTCAGGTAATTTTATTAATCCAATTAAATTACGAAAATTGCCTTACACAAGTAAATTTAATGAGCAAAATAAAAAATATAAAAAATTTCAACGTGCTGCGCAATAGACACGACACAACATCTTATCTTCAATAGTATCAAATTAATTTCATTTCTTTAACAAATAAAAATAAACTTAATGTCTTCACTGTGGCCATAACATTGAATTGAAAATTGTTTTTAGATCACTCAATAGTTCAGATAATATAAAAGTTATTAGATGAAAAGAGTTTCTGTACGCCTACGTGGAATTAAGAGAAGAAAAAGTTTATAACAATTTCAAAAACAAATGATATTGGTACTCTCATTATACTCTTTTTTTTCTGTGTGTTTTAATTCATAGCGACTAAATGAGCATCAACAAATCACAGTTTTTAATAGAATTTCTCGATGGAAATACTTCATGCTTGTATTCTGTCGCTATTTTACTAGGTTTGAATATATTTAACTTAGTTTGACCCGAGAGGATCTAATTTAACTCAACCTGAGAGAATCAAACTAAGCTTGACCCGAGAGGGTCTAACTTAGCTCGACCCGAGAGGATCTTACTTTTGCTCGACCCAAGAGGATCAACCTTAGCTCGACCCAAGAGGATCTAACTTAACCTGACCCGAAAGGTTCTAATTTAACTCGACCCGAGAGAATCAAACTAAGCTGGACCCAAGAGGATCAAACCTAGTTTGACCCAAGAGGATCTAATTTAACTCGACCCCAGAGAATCTAAATTAGCTTGACCTAAGAGGATCAACCTTAGCTCGACCCAAGAGGATCTAACTTTGCTTGACCCGAGAGGTTCTAATTTAACTCGACCCGAGCGACTCTAATTTAATTTGACCCGAGAGGCTCTAATTTAACTCGACCTAAGAGGATATAACTTAACTCGATCCGAGAGGATCTAAGAGAACTAGTATTACTCTCCTCAAGTTCAGCAAGCTAAGCTCTATAAAAAAGAATCTAAGTTGTATGCGCTCATTTCACTTAACAGTACATCCATACCCCTCTAATCATTTTAATATTGAAATATTAAAGCAATTTTTATTAACAATCTTGTTTCTTTAAATATAAAAAAAAAAGAATTATGAAAAGTAGAATAATAAAAAGTAACAAGAAGAAGATGTAGATGAAGTAGAGAGGAGGAGGAGGAAAAAGGAACACGAGAAGAAGGTTGAAATAAAAAGACATTAAAAAACAAATATGTATATACCAGTGTATATTAATTTACAAGAGACAATTCAATTTCATGTCATCGACTAGCATGAGATTAGTGAGAAGAAATATTTCAATTTATATATTTTTTTATAAATTGTACAACAGCCGAGAATAAGAAGGAAAAAGAAATTCAAAGTGTGTGATCGAGCGTAAGACAAAACTTGAAGATTGAAACAATTGAATGAAAGAGGAGCATAACATAATGTAAATTTATCGAATTGCAATGCGATATGCTGATTGTAAATTGTAGTTTTATTCTAAAAACGTAAAAATGCAATCATCCTAAGAAATAGCTTACATGCCCCGTTCTCGAAATGGATATGGCATATTGCATTATATTTACTTCTTTGCTCTTTACACTCCTCGGACAGTGTTGCTATCTGGATGGTTGTCAATCTAAACATAACAATCAAATCTGAGTCAGGACATATCTAGTTATGTCAATTGCTAGGGATGGCGTCATGTGGACTGCAAAGAAAGCTTTGACTATGATAAGGTCTAAGGACTGGCTTGTCACTATCTAAAACTTTATATTTAAAAGTTCTATAACTCACAAAGCTAGGTACTTAGGCAGCGTTTTAACCAAGACACAGAATCTGTCTAATGTTCAAGGTTCGTCTGGGTCTAAGGATGCATTTTTGAATATGTATTAGTCATTTGGAAATCTCACCTCAGTCAGTGTCTCTGTCTGTAGGATATCAGAACCTAACCAAACCTGTGTGTAAATCGAGACTTCCAACCCTGCCCCTCGCAATAGATTCACATCGTTCTTCCTGAAACCAAGCAACAAGAGTACTTTTCTCTTTCTTTTCTTTCCATTCATTCCACTTTTTTTTAAGAAAACAATGTTGGCATCAAAAGAATAGATTTTTCAAGCTTTCGTTTTTCTTCCTCTCCTTACACACATTCTACATTCTTCCTCCCATTGACGATACAATTTCATATTCACATATACTTTTTTTTAAAAGACCTCTCGTACATTTAAAATAGGTGCATGAATATTCTAAAGCGAAAATATCATTAATCATTTTTTTTGTGCTGTTGTTCTTGAGAAGAGGAATGGAGAGGAAAAAAAATGGGATGAAGTGAATAAGTTTGAATGGTTATGTGAAGATAATCAGGATTAGAGACGCATATTCTCTAGATTTTGTGTCAGTAACAGGTTTTATTGAATTTCTGATTTAAATTATGGGAATTTTTGATTTAAATGATGGGATTATGCTGAGTTATGTAAGGATTTGTGTGGTTTAATTCAATGAACAAGTTGTGGTATAGTTGTTTGAATTTTGAAACTAAAATCATGTTAAGGGCCGTTCACTTATGACGTCCAGCGGGGGTAAACAAGAAAATAATAGAAAATCCTGGAAATCCTTTGTTCTTTTCTGAAAAATGACTGTTAATTTTGGACATCATAAGTGAATGGTCCCTTATTTAATCCACTGAGCACTTGACCGACAATCGAGAGATGTGAGGTTCGATTACCGCTTGGGATCGACTCGAAGTCGACTCCGCTATAAAATCGATGAAAATCTCGAGTCAACTTCGAGCTCTGGTTCTTTTATTTAGTAGTGTGATAATACATTTGTAAGGTAGGGAGGGTCTTGGAGGGTCATTAACGTATTACAATCATTTAGGCTGGAAGTTTTTCAAAGATTTTAAATGCTCAAATGATGCCAAAAATGAACGACTGCCATAGTAAATACTAATTAATTGATAGCTATCAAACAAAATTATTTACTCTAGCTCTAAGTTAGCCTTTGAAGCAATCTAAAGCTCTTTGTAAATTTGCAACCAAAAAAAATTGCAAGGATTTTAGAAACAATAATCTTAAGGATACAATTCAACAAAATTGAACAAATGATTTTGCACAAAAGTGTGACAGAAAACCTTCAATTTAAACAACAAGTGTCCCTATTTTCTATTCAACACTTAATCAGCATCGTCATTCGATTAAAACAATCTCAATGCTGTTTAAAAAATTCGAATTGTATTGAAATATTGACCCGAGCAGTTAAATCATTGCCTCATTTTGAGTACTACAACTCCAATCCTTCATTAAGCTTAACTAAGTGAATTTTAATTGAAAAATATTATATAAAAAATTTGAAAAAAAATAATAATTGATCCTCAACAACCTTAAAAAGTAGATCATGATGAATTTACTGTTAATTTGCCTTAACTAGTCTTAATACCAGCACTTAATTTCATACAAAATTATGAAGAATTTCTTTGTAAAAAATTTTAATGATCAATGACATAACTGCAACGCAACTAAACAAAATCACTTCAAAAAAAATTTACATTAACCGGGTCAATTGCACTAAATGTCAAGCAATCAAGTTACTTTTAAGTCTAATTGAAATTTCAATTTTAAATAAAAAATTAAATCATTTCAAGCCGTTCAAATTAAAAAGAAATATTTTCACATTCGTAAAACACGATTTTAGTTGCAGTCATTCCATATTAGAGTAAAAAATAATAATTGAAATTATGTGCTTGTAAAATCATAAAAGCTAGTTTATTATTTTTTAATTATTAATAAACACATCATGTCGATGTTTTATTTCTTCTTTATCTCTGCATTACTTAGTCCTTGAGGTCTCGTGAGTACGAGAGAGCAACAAAGTAAAATGAAATGACTGAGAATGACAGACAAACAAAGTTAACATAACAACGTACGTAAGCTTTTGAAGATTGCGCTAATAACAAGAATAGCAATAATAATAAGAAGCATGTAAATTATGAAAGTTCTTCATATCTCTTCTACAAGTTGTGTATTTCTCCTCAGCGTGGCGTGTGTCTGTCAATCTGTGAGCTGTGAGCAGAGATGTAGTTTTAATAATTTTTTGGGGGTCCAAAAAAATTTGATTTTAATTTATTTTAAGGCTTTTTGAGCTCTGGTTGTCATATATTACTGTTTAATTCGAGCATCGGCTTATGAAACCAAGGTTCAATACACTACTAATCTCCGATTCCCAAAAATTTACTTTTCCGACTACACACCTGTGTAAGATCGTGTATACATGCATTTAGATGCCAAAAAAAATAGTGGAAAGAAGGCAATTGAAACAAAATTGATTTTTAATGATATCGCAAAAAAAATCAGGCATGAAATGATTCTTTTTTCTTTTCATGTTACTTGCTTCACAAGTAATTCGCACAAGACACATGAAACACAGCAAGTTCGCAATAATTTGTCAAAAGATCATGATCATTAATTGTACTCACCTTTAATATGCAGCGACCTTTAGCCTCATTCTCAGCTACTGATACATTATAAAAGCTCTGATCGAAAATTGGTTCGTTATCGTTTACGTCATGAACCGTGACTAAAACTGTTGCTGTTGATGATAATTGAGGATGGCCATTATCTTTAGCCATTATCGTTAATTTTGGAACTGGTTCGGTTTCGCAATCGATATGTGATCGTGTTGTAATTAAGCCTGAATGGATATCAATTTGAAACCAATGTGAATGTGTATTGGGGGTGTCGATAAGAGAATAAATTATAGCCGAATTATTGCCTTCGTCTTGATCAATGGCAACGACTTGAACAACAGATGTGCCCGGATCGGCGACTTCCATTACATTTGCTTGATAAATCTCTTGCTCAAATTGTGGTACATTATCATTTATATCAGTTACACGAAGATATATTGTCTTCGATGCATGAAGAGGTGGATTTCCTGTATCTGTTGCAATAACATTCAACGTATAATTTGGCTGTACTTCACGATCCAATGGCAACGCAACGATAACCAAATAAATAATGTTATCTCTAGTAGTCAATCCAAAATGTCCATCGCCTCCATTCAATGTTACATTGACATTTGAATATTCGGTCTTTGAGTCGGGATCATTGACTGAGATTCGGGCAACAAATTCGCCGGGTTGTGCTGATTCAGAGATTTTAGGTGTCGCGTCATCACTCAAAAAGATAACATTGATGACAGGTTGATTGTCATTTACATCTGTGACACGAATCGATACAAATGTTGTTGTCTCGAGTGGCTGTACACCATTATCTTTTGCCACGACAACAAGCTCGTGTAATTCTTTCGATTCGAAATCGAGTGCTTTATTTATTGATATTAATCCTGTATGTGCATCGATTCTGAACATTTGTTCTTTGTCACTTTGTCGTCGATTTATTGAATATTCTATCATGCCATTCTCACCGGCATCTGTATCAGTTGCATAGACTTGTAATACACTTGTACCAAGTGTTGCATTCTCTGGTATTGTTGCAAAATATCGACTTTGATTAAACAGCGGCTGATTGTCATTTACATCTATGATTGTTATATTTACAGTCATCTGTCCACGTAGTGGAGGAGTGCCACCATCCAAGGCCTCAATTACTAAACTATATGCAGGCGTTGTTTCACGATCGAGAAATCCATTGATTTGTAAATCAAGATATAATACACCATCGCGTTCTAAATGTGAGGATAGACGAAATGCGTTATTCACATTGCCCGACACGATATTATAACGTTGGGTATTGTAACGACCCAAATCTAAGTCTCTCGCGGGATTTAAAGTACGTTTAACGTCACGCGGTGTGTTTTCCGGAAATTCAATATTCATAACAGGCGTGGGAAAGACGGGTGCATTATCATTCTCATCGAGTACTTTTACAATTACACGAATTTGCGTGCCATTAGATAATATGGCAACAAATGAATATGAGTCTATAGTCTCTCGATCAAGTAACGCTTTTGTACGTATCTCACCGGTCGTATAGTCAATTGAAAGTGCGGAATCGACCGAACTTCCAGGCACTGGCACAATAAAATATGGTGGACCAACTGCTTGCGGTATATCACCAATAAATCCTATTTGATGGCCTATTGGAACACCCTCTGAGACTTCAATTTCATGTACATATTCCTCAGCATGTACTTGATGACTGCCAAATAATAGCAGCAGCCATGTGATGCACCAAAATAAATACATTTTCCTAATATTCCTAATACAATAATATTTTTTTGCTGCTCTCATGTTTCTATGTTGCTCATTCCTCCTTCGATCGGAGTCGTCGATTTGTGATTTATTTTTCTGAGGCAGAAGCAGCAAAGGAAATTCTTCTTCCAACACATCACCGCATTGTGAAGGCATAAAAGTGAAAATGTTGATAATCTGTAAAAGAGGAAAGAGAGAAAAAAAAATTACCTTTTCAATTAAATTTTATGTTTGCAACATAAATCGTTATTAGTCAAAAAAATATTATTATTAAATTTACTTTTTTGGGGGTTATTTGGAAATGATGTGTATTTGGGAATGGAAATTTTTATATTTGGAATAGCATTTGAATAATGCAGCTAATATTTCATAAAAATTGTTATTTTTGGTTGTTATGAAGTTTTGAACCAACTGTAATATTGCATGTCATAAGTAGTTGAACCTAATGAAGCTAATGGCCCTTAGATTATGCTAATGGGTTAATAATGATCTGGTATTTATGAGATTCAACTCTTTGATGACATTCTTAATATCCAGGACTGAACGATTGATCAAGGAACTCTCTTATCTTGTCCTAGTTCTTACTATTTAGTCCCTTTACTATAGCACCAACCCGAATAGCACTAATTGGTTGATCGAACAGAAATCCAGCACAAATCAGGTGTGACTTTAGCTTAGTGCTGAGTTTAAATCGATTCTAGAACTATGCCAGAGTCACATTGGATTGGTGCCTCATTTTTATTCGATTGACCGACTTGTGCCATTGTTATAAGTTCTTAAGAGAACCAAACCTAGAACAGTGAGCTTAATGCACCTATAAATAGCATTTAGCACTTCCTGAAATATCTGTGCACCCCGTTTCTAACCTGGATTTAATCAATTGTTACTAATCAGGCGCGTAGCCAGGGGGGGGGGGACAAATTCCCCTTTGTCTTGAGAAATTTCTTCATTTTGCTAGAGTTTTTATGAAAAACTTAACCCCCCCCCCCCCCCCCACCTAAAAGTTTTCCATACAAAATTGCCCCCTCTTCAAATTTCTGCTTACGCCCCTGTTACTAATTGATGCAAATTAGAATCAATTGAGGTTCCAAATCAAATCCGTTGACCACCTAACATCCAAACGACTCCCGAAAAAAATATTATTTTTCGTTAATCTTAGACACAAAGATCATGATTATATTTTCTGGTATGAAAAATAAAGAGTGAATTATTGTGAAAGGAAAAGAAGCAATTCTGAAAAACATACGGCAGTAGTATATGACCGTAGTCAGTCATTAATTACATTTTGTGGTTTTCGAATCAACAAAAGGAAACAAAGTTATTTTTTATGATACATATTTTCAAGTCTCTCAAGAGTAATATTCTTCTACCTTCTTTAAAAAAAAAATACCAATTTTTTGATGATTTTTATTTTTCTTCTTCTAAAGAAATAATAATTTTGTTCCTTTCATTCTTTACCTCTCCGTCTCTTTTTTATTTTATTCTTGTTGTAATATCTTGTGTTACCTGTCTTCTCTAGCAATTATGATACACATAATAAGAATAATAAGAAGAATAAGAACAGCGTGTATGTGAGAGAGAATCGTGAGTGTTTAGATGAGTAAAAGAAATCTTTGGTGGAATATTAAGAGAATGTGTGTTGTGTGCATACAAGAAAAATAAGGTTTTTGATTGTTTCCGTCAGTTAATGACTTTAACGCATTTTTATGAAGGGATCAGGACTTTTTTCGACGTGTGTATCCACTTGAATGGGTTTATGTGCTTGAAATTATGTTTTATGAATGTTATAAGGTTTTTGTGGGGAAAGATTAGAAGCATGGCATGATGAAGGTGGCAAATACATAGGGTGAACATCTGCGTAGTTTTACAACGGACAGTCCAGTATTTCAAAACCCTGCCCTGTATAAATTTGAAAATTTTGTTCTAGGTCCTGTATTTCTTTCACGAAAATTTTCGTTAATTTTCAAATTCTCCTTTGCGTTCTGTAATTTTTAGGAAATTTATCAAATGTTCTGCATTTTCATAAAAATTAGATGGTAAACCTACCAATACATCGACTATACCCGAATGACACAAGTCGGTTAAATGATCAAAAATCATGCACCAAACCGGTGTGGCTCTGGAGTGATGCTGGATTTAAATCGAATCACAATGTCAGGCTTGGAGCTAGATTTCTATTTGACTAATCAACTTTTGCTATTCGGGACAGATAGTTTAAGCTACAACTTAATTTATTTTGGGTCATAGTTTTATTTTAGGAGGCACCAAAACCCTTGCAACGCCACTGAGAATAAGATTTTAGAAGTTGTTAATTTATTCATTAAAATTCATTGTGAAAATAATATTTTGAAGAGGATATCTGACATTTAGGCTTAGAGGCTATTTAGATAAACTGACTAAGTAAGTCCAAAGAATCATCCTTATTATTAATTTGAGGGGTTGTTCTTAAAGAGAAGGGACTTTGGATGCAAACCTTCTCCCTTCACATTTACAATATCGATACCCTTTAAGTTTGAGAAGGTTTGAAAAATACTGATGCTTATTATAGCCTTTGATCCATATTTAAGAAAAATTTCAATTCCTTCACCAACTAATTTTAAGTTCCAATTCCTCAAATTTATGCTTGTTTATTTTCTTAAACTGCATACGTTATTTTGGAGATAAATCTCCTCAAATTCAAAAAAATACTAAAACAACAATAATATTCAATGACAAAAGTCCTATAAATTTCCCTAGGATGCCATAAAACATAAACAATAGGCATCCAAAAAACAAACATTTACAGCGGTTCATTGAATTTTTTTTTCATCATCAACCAAAACACAGGACTTTTGTTTTCAAATAGAACAATACCCCCAAGTGCCTCTCAGTTTGACATTTTACATGCGTTAAACAATCAAAATAAAGACATAAAGAAAGAGTGACCACGCCTAGAACAAATTAATTAGCATGACAAAATAATTAAAATGATTTCCATAAAAACATCAAAAATTATTAATTTTTTTTATAATCATCTATGCAATAAAATATTTTTGTGGATGCCTGAAGAAATTACAGTCTAAATTAAGCAGTAAAAAAATAATTGTCAATTATCGCTAGCTCCTGTGGATAGAATGATAAGCAATCGAAGATAAGACAAAAGATCATAAAACACAAAATTGTTTAATTCAATCAATTAAAAAGTTAAGAAGAAAATTACTTTACTTTTGGCTAGATTAATTATCAACATCAAGTCATCAGCTGTGTTACTTAATTAAAGTTTTTTTTAATCTAGTCAAGTCACAAATTTTTTATGACACTTCCGCGCATCGTGTGTAACATTTAGATATTTTTGTGAAGCATTTAGAAGTTCTCATGAAAAAATGTTTGAATATAAATTTGTGTGAATGAAATGGTGCATTTTTATGACAAAATTTATCAGATGGCATTCTTGGGAACGTTTTTTGGGGACATCTTTTGATGGAATTATCAGGTTTCTAGATTTGCGACAGTTTGACATTTTTATTTTTTTTTTTTAATTTTATAATGGCATTCTTGAATGTTGAGAAGAACTGAGAACAATTTAATTTATATAATAATTTCAAATATTAGGAATCGAACTTATGTTCATGGCTGTGTAAATGAGGAGCTTTAAAGGAGAATAGAACCACATTTGGGATAAGTTGCTAAATGGCTGTAGAAATAATAATCAATTTTGATGAGTATCAGGCGCTGAGCCTTAAAAAATCCCCGCCCCTTTTATTCCTGGCTACTCTCCTAGGAATATTGATCCCTAGACTACTGAACCTAGGTCTACATTTGAGTGGCCTAAATTGGTTTTGTGGAGGAATAGTTTAGTACTTCGGGACCTAATCATTGTAATACAGGCACAGCGATCATTGGTTTGAGACTGGGTATGGGAAATTATTTATCGGTCCTTTTTCGAACCATATGTACTGAAAATGAGGCTCTCACAGCCTTCCTTTGTAAGCTACAGGCAGAAATGTCAGCAAAGGAGTGGTTCGGATCCCACTATAAATTGTAGGTCTAGGTTTTAGACCAGTGGTTTGTCTCATCCTCACTGGTTAAACTCTCATTAGATGCGAAACTTCCCAAATCTCCTCAAGATCACAATTGAACTGAATAAGTAAAGCTTTTTTTTTCTAGATTTAAGAGGGAGGGATGTCGACGTTTACAAAATGTCCTTACCAGGCGTGTAGGAGGGTTTTGTCCCCTCCTTAAACGTTTTAGGTGTCTGAAATGAAAACAGTTCGGCATTCATAATGAAAAATTAGGTGGTTTCTCTCCTTCACACAGAACACATAATGTGTATTTACTGTTTTGTAAGTAGATAACTTTTTAACTTACAAGACTTACACGTTTCTCATTCATTTTTCAAATTTTAAGCAATGATTATGCACAATTTTTTCTTTTATTCATTTGGGAATTCATTGTAATCAGATTTGTATCATCATATTTTCATTCTATTTCTATTCTATTATGTGGCCTTTATTTTTCTATTATCAACTGTGCTTTTATAGGACCAAGAAAAAAAATGTGAGCATAAATATGTGGTTGCATGTAATAAAATAAAAAGAAAATAAACGTTACGTAATAAATTGGAAAGAAATTCTCTCAATAATAAATAAAATCTGAATGGTTGTGCATGCAATACATGTAATATCTTCCCGTGTGTCTGTGTATGAATGTGCAGCACATATGACGTGAATATGTGGAACTCACGAGCCTCTCTTAAATAGCATCAACCTCATATATGGATTTCTTTTTATTATATTGAAAATAAATAAGGTAACAATTTTTTTATAATTTTTTTTGCGCGCATAACTTGAAAAAGTTGTTTTAGTTTCCTCGCGCTGAATGAGAAAAAAAATACTTCGGGCCATTTTCAGGCAAATTTAAAATTATGGTCTTTTGATTTGGGGTCGTTTATTATTTCTTGACCCCCCCCCCCCTCCCCCTCTCCTCATGTTTTCACTTCATCTAGATACTTTAGTCTACAAAATCAATGAATATCAACTTAATCTCAAAAATACTAGTCACATAGCTGCCATGAGCCTAGATAAGAATATTAGACGTCATAAGCAAACGACTCCATCCTGTAATTTGCCATTTTTACCGAATCATGCGAGGTGAAAGAAAATTTCCATCCATTTTCAAATTTATTTCTAATTAGAAGCTACAAAACTAATTTACACACTCTAAATGAAATTTATACACTCGTCGATTTTTTGATTTATTTCTTCCTGACAAAAAAAGACATCACACGTTTTCGCATGCTATATATGAGCATATATACGAACAGAGAATTAGATTTGCCAAAAAAAAAAATTATCTATAACGGTTCAATATTGAACATTTTCGGCTTCTTCTTTCGACATCTTAAAAAAATTTTCAGTTCTGTAAATTAAGCAATTGGTTTGAGATTTTTTTTTCTCTCTTTTCGCATGACGTGCGGTGACACAATCCAATTAATTAAAAGAGATTTATATTTTTTAAACATTTTTCCTTTCCACCTCATCATCGATGGCTTTTTTTTATACATTATTTTCGTTTTCGATTTGTGTGATTAAAGCTAGGTTGGGATACTAGTAGCAGGTGTAAAGGCTGAGGAGGGCGAGGGGGGACTTTGGGAATGGTCTTTCTTGAAGGACAACTTTTGATTTTCAATTTCAATTTCAATTATCTTACAAAAATATTTTAAAAATTTGATAAGGTTTTTAAGAAAAATTCACCAAAATTTCCAAAAAACTTGAAAATGACACCCCATTAAAAATAAAACAACCACTTTCGCTAGTTATGAGTTGCTGGTAAAGTGGTCTAGTACAGTGGTAAACAACGTTTTTTGTGCCACGGCACACCTTTGGGGTAAACCTTGACAGAAACCGCGCATGGCTTGGTACCCGTGAAACTCATTAAAAGAATCTGTTGCATTTATGAAACCTATGTCTTATAAAAGCAGCTCACAACCTTCCTTTATAGGCTGCATACAATTTTATTGTCAACATAAGGCTCAGTTGGGATTTAACTCCAGTAATGTCCATAGTTTTTGGTTTGATTGGATAAATATGACAAACCTTACACTAACCAAACTACGACAGTTGATGACAAAGCTAGTAATGCTAAAACCAACAGCTAAAGACACTCAATTGTTCAATATTTCAGTCAAATCATTGACAAAAGCAACAGAACTTATGTTCCAAATATGCAGCCATACCATTCCTAACAATTTCTCTTAAAACTACTCGACTACACTCTTCTGAATAACCATCAGCAGTAGAAGATCATAAAAATTCCCAATAAACATCTGTCAATGCCTGACTTCATTACCTCGATTATTCAAGTTCTGACCATAAAAATGATTCAATTCAACAGTGTCTATTCCCAGCAGCATAAAACAGTTAAGTATTAAAAAAACAAAAAAAAAGGTTTATTATCACTCAAAACACTCAATGGAATAAGTAATTAAAGCTGAAATGTCTTCAAAAAAAATTAGTACACAAAAAAAATATATTTTTTCCAACCCATTAAGATAGCAGAAAAGAAGTTCATCATCATCACTGCATCCAACTGATGCTTTCACGGAACTAAGAAGACCAACAAGAGAAATGAGTTTAAAAAAAAGAGTCACAAAAGTTCAAATTAAAAAATTTTATTGTAGCAATAAAGATAATTAGCTCCTAAATTCCTTCTTTTAATGATTTAATTCATCATCGATTATAAATGTTTCGGCAAAGTTATAAACCGCGCGTAGAGAGAAAGCAGCTAAGACAAGTCGGTGTACAAATGGATATGGATGTAGTAAATGTTATAATGCCAAGAGAACAGCAACAATACAAGTTGATGATGATTGCAGTAAATATTGAGACCTTTCAGCGTCGATATGTTAGTCTCTGTCATGTTACGAGCTTTCCCAAACTATAAAGCTGCTCTTTTCTATTCGTCGTTTGTTGCCTTCGATTTAAGCAGAGTTGTTTGATGTGGGATAAGTTTGGGAGAATGTTAAGATTAATGAGAATATTAAGCTATGCTAGGTTGTTGCTCATAAATATTGAATCGTATATAAATCTGTAGATTGCAATGTTTAAGTCTTGAAACGAGACTTGTGTAGATCTTCCTTTAACTGCTATGTGTGTATACTAATGTAAAACAAGTCGAGTTTGATGGGAATCGAACCCATGACCTCATAAAAGACGATTTCTGACCACTCGATCAGAGATCCTTGCCACTCGGCTACCGTGGTACTTATTTTACTTCGGCTGTCCGTCATACACATATAAGCAGTTTCACACGAATCCTGTGCTCAGGTCTATCTACTACAGTTATCCAAAACTTGCTTTATGTTTTTTGGAGTCTTCATTATCATTTTGAAATTAGCCGACCTATTCCATGCTTCCTACTAACCTCAAAATCCACTCAGTATATTTTAGCCGCTTTTCGCCGATTTGGCTTTTCGCTGATTTTTGTATCAAGTAAACTTGATAAATTTGAAATTCGCTGATTTTCAATTTTCGCTGATTTTGAATTTCGCTGATTTTTGAATTTGGCTGATTTTTAAATTTTGCTGATTTTTTTTTAAATTTTCGCTGATTTTTGAATTTTCGCTGATTTTAAATTTTTTGCTGGTTTTAAGAGTAAAGTTTAAAATGTGATCATAAAAATCACCGGAAACCCGGAAGCAAAGAACCATCTTTTCGAAATCACCCACTTAATGAAAATCACGTGGGCGTGTAGTACGGCCGAGACCTTTATCGACACAGTTCAAAAGTTGTACCTAATTTATGTTAGAATTATGTCAGTAACAAAAACACTTAGTTTGAATTTTGTCACCATCGAGAACATTATGAACCAGTATAGTTGATTTTGGTCCAAATCTCGGCCATACTTAACACATGTTTGAACAACATTTTCTCGTAAATATTAAATTACTAGTCTATTCGGGCGCGCCCGTTATCAGTGTTTAAATTTGATTAATATTTTGTAAATAATGGTAACACTCTAATAACCTTAATGTTTTTAAAGTCAATTCTACCACAAAACTTCACATGGCTTCACAAAATTTTATATGGCATCACAAAATATTCCTGACACCAAACTTTTCACCCCCGACACCCATCTTGTCAACACGGCTTCACAAACCCCCTCAAATTCGGACCCACCTGACACCCAACTTGCCCCCCCCACCTTATTAACTCCCCCCCACCAAACTGACACCCACCTTATCAGCACCCCACAAATCATTGGCTTCACAAAATTTATCGACACCCACCTTGTCCCCACCCCGACCTGACACTCACCCCACACCTGACACCCACACCCACCTGACAACCACCTTGTCAACACTCCTTAAATTTTTGTCTTCACACGTCTTCACAAATGTCTTCACATGACTTCCGTTCCAGAGTCAGTGAATCAGTGAGTTGGGCTTTTATATATTAGATTACTAAAAAGAAAGTAATTCTGAATTATGTCACTATTATGTCAAGTGTTTCAGGATAAAGAAATATTATTTTTTCGTTTGCACAGTAAAGAGTATGAGCAAATTGAAAAAAATGTAATGATATGTATTATATGCCAGATTTACGTCAGTTCAATTTTCAATTTTGGACTAGGGGCGACCCTAGTCCCAAAATTCAAACTAAGTGTTTTTGTTACTGACATAATTCTAACATAAATTAGGTACAACTTTTGAACTGTGTCGATAAAGGTCTCGGCCGTACTACACGCCCACGTGATTTTCATTTAGCAGGTGATTTCGCGAAGATGGTTCTTTGCTTCCGGGTTTCCGGTGATTTTTATGATCACATTTTAAACTTTTCTCTTAAAATCAGCAAAAAATTTAAAATCAGCGAAAATTCAAAAATCAGCGAAAATTTAAAAAAAAAATCAGCGAAATTTAAAATCAGCGAAAATTGAAAATCAGCGAATTTTAAATCAGCGAAAATTAAAAATCAGCGAATTTCAAATTGATCAAGTTTACTTGATAAAAAAATCAGCGAAAAGCCAAATCGGCGAAAAGCGGCTAACTTCCACGGAGTCAAAATCCCAAAACTCCTTTTTAAATAACCAAATCAACTCTGTCCTCTAATGCCACAGAAACTTAATTTACAAGAAACAAAAAAAAAACTAAATTCAGCAGATATGTCAATTTGGAAACAAATCTTTAATGATTTGCTGTCAGCGGTGGCTGTAAAGCCATAACTAAACTCACGTACGTGTCAAATGAGATTTTATGATGAATTTGAGTCATTCGAATTACTTTCTCGCACACAAAAAAAAATAAAATAAAATATAAAAATAAAGGAGGAAGAACAAAAAGACATAAATATTGGAAATGAAGCGAAAAATTCGCTTTCATTTGTACAACTTAAATG